CATCAAAGCCTTTGTCTGACAGGGAGTCATTGACAGGGGCTTTTCTTCCCCCTACTCCAATGTCCACCATCCCTTCCCTCTCCCTTTCCCCCTCGCATACGCTCCTCTTTCCTGCCCTGTCTACAATCCTGGCACTTTGCCCCAAATCCATCAGGCACTTCCCCATTGGTCCACTGGAGGGCGAACGTCACGGCTGGCTTTCCAGAGGAAGCTTGCAAAGGAACTGACATCACAAACAATTGCCGCTCTAGGATGCAGCACTCGCTCTCCTTAACGGCCCAGGCGTTCCAGAGTTAGGCTGGAACATACACACACACACACACACACGGATGCCTTCCCCCCCCAATATTTCTGGTTTCCACCAAAAAGCATCCACTGAAGAAAATGCACTTGTTTAATAACTGTGATGTTCACTTAGCGACTGTCACAAAAAATACTGTAAATGGGTGTAGTTGTGCAGTGACCCAGTTAATGCTTACTACCTATGACTCTTAATTCCAGGATCAATTATGGTTGTAAGTTGAGAACTACATATATGTTTCTGAGGCTGCAGTTCTCTGTGTTTATCATTGAGAATTTCTTTTTCACTGCCCCTATGCTTTCTATTACCCTCATGAACCTGAACCTCGCCTACCTATTAGCACAGGGAATGTGCTTCAGATACTACCTGTCTAAAATGCAGCACAACAAACAATTTGTGCCCGCCCTTCACTTCCAACTTCTATACTTTGCTGTATACAAAACTGTTTATTCGTGTTAGAAATTCTGTTTATATAAAGCACCATAGAGCAAACGAAGTGTACAGTCACCATGTGTTTTACTGCTGAACTACTTTTACTGAAACAGGAAACTCTTCTTAGAACAAAAGAGCCTAGATTATATATCACAGGTCCAAATCTGTAAACACTGCCATCCACTGGCTGAACACTGCTGTAGTTGTTGCATAGAAATACATTTCCAAAAATGAAATTCAACAGCTCATCACTCCCTTTCTTCCACGCTGCCTCTTCTCCCTCCTTACCTCATCCTGTTTTGCAGATACTGACCTTGCTGGCTGGCTGACTTCCATTTTGCACCGGGACAGGGAAAGGCGGAGTAACCAGAGGCAGCTGAGCGGCTGAGGTGGTCCTTACTGTCACCTGGGAGGCTGCCATAGGCACCAAGACTTTGCCTTGCACCTGTAGCCCTGCGGAGGGCATCACCTGCCCAGACACCAGGTGGGCTGAATTGCTGGGAGACTGCGCCTGTACGGGGGACACGGACTGAACTGTGGGGAGAAGGGAGAAAGAGAGGGAGAAACATATTTATTTTACCCGATTTTTTTTTCTTTTAACGCACTCCAATTTGCACTCTGGGCGGGATACCACAGTGTAAAGACAAATTTAAACAAATTTAAAAATAAGATGGTTAAAAACAATACACCACCCAAAAAACAAAAAGTTAGTCCCAAGATGGACAAACTAAAAGATCTGGCAGAATGAAGTTATTTCACAGCCTTCAAGAGTTCAACGCATTAAAATATTTTGCTTGGAAGGAACTCTGCGCGCAACCTTCGGTGGAGGCTGCCCGGGGTCAAAGAAATGTCACTGGATTCCATCTGGCCCATGAACCGCCAGTTACGTAATTGCAGCTGAAATGATGATGAGGCTACAGTTGTATGGGCAGTCCTCAACTTACAATTTCAAGTGAATCCCTTCTAAAAGTACAGGGGAAGGCCTGGACGTACCACAATTGGGCTCAAAATTCTTGTGGCTAAGCAGGATATTTGTTAAGTGAATTCCGCCCCATTTTGTGGCTCTTTGAGTGTTTAAGGTTGCCGACCCCTGGTCTAGTCCCAAAAAAAGCTGCCCAAGCTTTAGTTCCTTGAAAAGGTCCAGAATATTCAGGGGTGTCCAACTTGGCAATTTTAACACATATTTGATTTTGATTGATTGATTTTATTTCATTTATATGCCGCCCTTTTCCCCAAAGGGGACTCAGGGCGGCTCACAATTCAAATCAGGGAAGGGGGGGGGGGTACAGACAGCAAATAAAAAAACGAAACATAGCAATGCATAGTTTAAAAA